TTCCCTTGAAGTCATTGAAGATGTACCCCAACAATAACAACCTGTTCTTGAGGAGGTACAACCTGAATTTTTGTGGTTTAGGATTTTCCTTCAGCGTTACCCAGATGATTTCATTTCTCAATAATTTCTTTGAACTTTTTTAGTATATGTTATGTTCTGAATTTTTGTTTTCAGTTTCTGAACCATGTTTCTGTCTTTGAATTTATGATATATTATGAATTTTTATTTTCAATTTTTGAATCACATTGCAGCATTTTAGTCAAGATTTTGAACTGGATAAGTTCAAATCAAAGAAGGATTTTGGAGGGTCTTATTTTATTTGATTCTTTTTTTTTTATAGTTTTATTCATAAATGAATATTAATTTATTGTATTTTTTATTTATTATATTTTTATTAATAGATATAATAAAAAAAAGTACAATAAAAAACATGAAGTTGGCGTTCTGGAACGGGCCGTTCTGAATTCAGAACGGCCCGTTCTAACATCAGAACGACCTGTTCTAGTTTCAGAACGACCCGTTCTGCTGCACTCATGTTGTGTTAAATTTACATTTGGAACGCCCCGTTCCAGTTGCAAAATTAACACATAACATGTGCATGCAGAACGGGCCGTTCTGGTTTCAGAACGGGTCGTTCTAGTTCCAGGTGTATTCATGACATTTGGCATCCACCTATGCATCTACGTGACATTCACCTGACATCCACGTCAGCAGAAGTTAACCCTGTTTAAATCATTTGGACGGAAGTCCCAAATTGCAATGATTTAAATTATTGGGGACCAAATTGAGACCTAAAATTAAAGTGGGACTAAATTGAAACAAAAAAATATTATCAGGGACCAAAAGAGGTTTTTAACCAAATATTAATGATTAATATATAATAGTCACTAAAAATGTACTTACATCACACTAAATTTTATTATTAACGATAATTATTTATTAAAAAAAACTTAAGTCTCGCATCAATTATAGATGAAATAATTAAAGAGTATGTAAGTAGATAGCAATTCTCACCTTATAAGTCTCACATCTCTTAGGAGATAAGAAAATTAAAAAAATAAGGAAAAAATTCAAGTTTTACATCAACTATAGATAAAATAATTAAAGAATATGTAAGTAGAGAGCAACTCTTAAGTCTCACATTAGCTATAGATAAAATAATTAATTAGGAAATAAGATAATTAAAAAAAACAAAGAAATTAAAGAATATATAAGTAGAGAACAACCATCATCTTAAAAGTTTCATATCAACTAGAAATAAGATAATTAAATAGTATTATAAATCATTTATTAAACTTTTAATGAGAATAGCAAAAAAATATTAAATACCAGAAAAAAAATATCACAAAAATTTATACATTTTTTTCAACCATTATAAATTTTTTTACTAATATGTAAAATTATCGACATTGCATATAATGACTAATGTGAAAATACTGATAAAAAATTTTACAATAATTTTTAATGACACTAAAAATTATATTAAATATCACTAAAATTTATTTTGTTGTAGTACTCGAAAAGTATTCCAAATAAGCGTGATTAGACCCAAAAATCTGATTCCTCGAGCAACTCCTCCGTGTTGTTATTTGATACAAGACATTGTTCTGATAAATTTCACAGCATGAATACAACACATGATTAAAATCTAAAGGTGTCATGGCATCAAACCTAGAAAGCGAAAATGCTTTGACAGTGATGATATAACCAGATAAGGATTACTGAAAATATATATGTTCCCTAAAGTAGAAACTACATATATTGTAGAAAAATCTACAGATATATAAGGCAAAAAACTTTTACAACAAAAATTTATGATCCTACTATATCACCAGCTGGTCTTGATCTTGAGGGTTGAAGACTCCAGTGTTATTTTGTCTGAACTAGGTGTGGCTATTGCTTCTATTGATAATTCAAATTTCAGACCAGCTGCTAACTTTGATAATTATTATTCTTGTCCCAAATGAAGGAGTTGGATCAACTATTCATGATATGCAAGAACAAACCTCAATTGCTGCTTTTCTTGACCTAAATGGATATGATAGATATAACAAAAGGTGGTAAAAATAAAATATCCTTATAATATTAGGTATGTTATATTACTTTGGTTCGCTAATTGTGACTGGTGGATATCTATATTAACCTATATTAATTAGAAATGTTGGTGTTCTGTTGTTTATAGTGACTATGCTCAGCAATGACTTGAATTATTGGATGTTTGAGAAGCAAAGATCTAATGACCTTACTTAGCATAGCCAAGGATGAAGAAAGCAGGGTCAATTTTGTTGATGTTTCTATGCTTATTTCCGAGCTTTTTGTGTCTTCAATTTTCTCAACTAATGAACAAAACAAGATTACGCAAGTCTCACCAACACATGTCAAATTAAGTGTCATGTTGAGGTCTGGAAAAGGAAAACAGCACTATGGCAAGATAATTAACTTGGGATGGCAAAACTACGAATTAATGGGTTTGTTCAAATCATACAAAAAAATTTGCTTGCTGCAATTTTTTTTTTCTTTACAAGAGACTCTGATTCAAGGTTGTCAAACTCGAGAGTCTACACAAACTTGTGGAGCTCTCGTAGACTCGTAAGAGTCTACCTACTATTAAAAGATATTAAAAAACATGAACATACACAATATGATATCACTATTTCAACATTCTAAGTCTGAAATAAGTCAAATAACAACAATAAAATGTCATAATACAAATCTTAAACCATACATAAATAACAAAAAGTCGAAAACACATAGGTCCACAAATAAAAAACATAAAACAAGATCTAAATTTATCAATCAAAGTCCAATCCTCCAACAAATGCATGAGCATCATCAGCAGAGATGCAGCAGAGGGAGAGAAAACAGAAACAGACCCGCGTCCTTCCCAGCAAGAGGACGCGCGTTCGTATGCAGCGGCGGCGTTCGTACGCGGCGGAGATGCTCGTTCCTAGCGGCGGAGATGCTCGTTCGTAGCGGCAGAGATGGGCGTTCGTAGCGGCGGAGATGGGCGTTCGTAGCGGCGGAGATGGGCGTTCGTAGCGGTGGAGATGGGCGTTCGTAGCAGCAGAGATGCACGTTCGTACCAGCGGAGATGAGTGTTCGAATGCTCGGAAGGAGAGAAACCAGGTCAAAAACGTGAGAATGATGGAGGCATCTTCGCGCAAAGGGAAAAATGTCTAACCCTAGGTAAAATGACGTCGTTTTGGGCCATTTAGGGGTGAAAAAAAAAACGGAACCAGACTCGTGGACTCGGCCTCAGACTCGCGATTCTGACCGAGTCTACCCGAGTCAGCCCGAGTCTACCAAAAAACGAGTCTATGGGCGAGTTAACCCGTTTGGCTACCCTAGACTCGTAGACTCGTACGAGTTTACGAGTTGACTCACGAGTTTGACAACCATGCTCTGATTGCTTAAAATTATGCACCAAAATCTGCTGCAATTGCCAAACCAGAATCAATAACTCAGCAGCTGTAGTAGCTAAAAATTTGCGACAATTGTCAAACTAGGATCAATCAAGGTCCAAATAAAATAAACATAAGTTTAAAATTAAACAAGATACACACTAGCAACTGTGCATCTTATTGGTTATAATTTACAAAAAAACACTTGTTAAGTATAGACAGAAGAACAATGAGCCAATGACTCTATTCATAAGCCGAAAGATAGGACAACAACCAAAGATTGTCCCTAACATAGATAAATAACATATTGTAGGAGCAGGATATAACATTAACCTCCATTTATTTCATTATTAAGAAATCACACAAATTACAAGGTAGAGGATGAGGAATTTGCAATCCAATTCCAAAATAGAGTGGAGTGATTGATTATTAAGAATCTCAAAGCTAATAGTACTCTACTTTTGCATTATTTGATTGCACAGATTGCTAAAATAAATTGTCCAACTAAATTTCTAATGCACCCTCAATACACTTTTAGTTCAAGAAAATAAAAAGAGAAATGGCCTGGATAAAAGTGGGATTCTAAGGGTATTACTGGAAATTACATAATTTAAACATTATCCCACTTACCAAGTAACCAAGATGCATTGTAACATAGGAAATAGAATTAGAAATATGAGCCCATTACTCTTCTTTCTTGTAAATTGTTCTATGAAATTATTATTTGTTTAACTAGCTTATGTATAAATATTGTTCTATTTACTATTGATTACTCCTTTTACTCAAGCATTTCACTCACAATAAGTTAAATACAAAATATTCCCTCCTAAAATCTCAAGTTAGTATCAAAGTAGGTTAATCATGTCTCTCTATTTAGCTAAATAAATCATAATTCTTTAGCTGTTATTACAAAGTACTATTGGAGAACCACATTGTGAAAGTTAGTTGTTGTAGTTGGAAAGCCATAGGCCATCACATCAGAATTCTTACTTACAATGTAAGACTCAAGTCCCATGCATGTGTCAACCAATGCAAGAAAAAAAAAATGGTTTAAAATAACATTATGCCCAATTGTGGATAAAAATGGGAAGCATCGTAAATTTTTTAGATAAAAATAAATTTGTCTTTATTTTTTCATACTTGTCTTTTTTTATTTTATTTTATTATTATTAAGAATATCTATCACATTTTATGTATAATTTTTTTTTAACTTTTTATACAACTATACAATATTCTGTCAAAAAAAAAAAACAATTATACAACAGAAAAAGAAAACAAGTTTTCTATTCATTTTCTTTCCTTCGTTCTCTTCTATTTCACTTTTTTCCTACCACTTTGTCGCTGAAACAAACATAACAATGGAGATCTATCATAAGCTTCCCCATTAAAATAAAATAAAAATCTTTTATCATACATTTCTTTTAATTTTCTGTGTTCAAGCAACAACATTTTACTTTAAATAAAAAACGATGGAAAATTAATTATTCATTAACAAAATATAAATAGCATGGATATGGGCTTGGGCCGTCGAAATGGAAAATGTCCACTTTGAATTGTTGGACGCACATGCAACCAACAAAGCAAGGACGGTGAAAACCGAAAGAGAAGTTGCACAAAACGACGTCGTCTCGTTCGTCACCACGTCCACACCACTATTCCTCTTACCGTTACGAAACGAACCAATACAACGCCATCATTGTGCAGCGCTTCCTTCCCTCATTCTCAATTCAAACCCCTTTCCTCATAATCGCGCACACTTTGCTTCGCATCGCAATTCTCAAAGGTATAATAATTTCAACACATGCTTCCAATTTTCGTTTTCCTTTTCTCTGTTTTCACAATTATCGCGGTTATTAATTCAATTGTCATGAACGTTATTTTTCGCGTTTGGCAGAAACTGGTTTCGATGGTGCGAGCTCCGAATCCAGAGCATCTGGAATCGACCACGCCCTTAGTCGTGAGTCACGTATTTTCATTTTTTTTATATTGTGTATACGAAATAGATATTCCGTGCGCGAAAACTTCGAAGTGCATGATTTATGTTTTTATAATTTTGATGAATTCTGCATTGGAAATAGTTTTTATTTGCTTTGTTTTGTTTTTTGTAAATAAATATTAATAGGCAAAGTGTTTTCCTATTAGAGTTCTAATGAGAGGTTTATTTGAAGTTGGGAAATGTTTACGTGATAATTGAATGAATCTGGTGTGCAACATTTATAGGGCATGAGATACACCTGCGATGCGTCCAATTGTGGTTATATATGCTGTTAGTTAATAGTTATGACCAAACAAAACTAGTTATGAGATTAGCCGAGTTAATAACAGCTAGTTAATAATTATGATCAAACAAAATTAATTATGAGATTAGCCGAGTTAGGTTAATTATATGCGTGTTTGGGTCGGTGTCACATAACTGTTGGCAGGCGTTAAAGTGGAAGAAACTGATACCAGCTTTTGCGTTTTATTAAGAATTTAATGTGTTTTTGATGTGAAGAGTGAAGATGAGACTGCTGATCCAAACATGCCATATGAGATTTGCTGAGTTAGGTTAATCACAGCTAGTGAGTAATGAGAAAATTATGATGTTTAAACTCTATAAAACGAATCTGTTTTATATTCAGTTGTTCACTTGTCTTGATTAATCAGAACATTGTCCTTTAACTGAAAAGAGTCAAAAGACGGATATTTTCAGTGGCCAGACCTCATGTTAAGAGCTACTTATACAAATAGAGGAACAAAAAAAAGTTAGTAAATGCATTTGCAACAGAAAATGGTATTGGTTGGGATTGGTGCATTTATTCATATCATACATGTATGGTGTGAACTATTCTTCAAAGGAATGGTGATCCCTTCTTATATACTATTGAATCACTTTTCCTTATATGAAAAGAATGGCCAATAACAAGAAAATTATATTCCCTGCTTATTTTTCAAAGGCTTTAAGATATAGGGGAAAAAAATGAGCAAACCCAATCTAGCCTGTTTTATGTTGGTGTCTATGGGAATTGCACAAATTGTGTGTTCTTCCTCACACACAAACTGATTTATTTATAGTCAATAGGAATACAATAATTAGGGAAACTAGGGAAATAACAAAAAGATAAAATCTCTTAAAATCAGCCCTAAAGATAAGCTATACATAGTTACTCTATTTAAAGATATCTAATTATATCATTAAAACTCCCCCTCAAGCCGGAACATATGCACCATATGAGCCAAGCTCGTTACAAATGTATTCCACTTGGGAACCCTTGAGAGATTTTGTGAAATGTTTGCTACCCGATAAATGGAACTAACAAAGTCAATGGTGATTTCTCCTGAGCACCTTTTCTCCCACAAAATGACAGTGTGTCTCTATGTGTTTGGTTCGTTCATGAAATACTAGATTAGATGCAATATGAAGAGTAGTGTAGTCTGGTTGTCACAAATCAGTTTAGCATTATCCAAACTGTAATTATTGAAGAAGTTGCTTAAGCCATGAAATTTCGAAGGCAGTTGCTGCCATAGAACAGTACTTGGCTTCAACACTAGGTCAAGCAACTATATTTTGTTTCTTGCTTCTTCATAAAATCAAGTTTCTTCTAATAAGATCATAATAACCAGAAGTGGACCTCTTGTCTGATGGTGTTCCTGTCCAATCAGCATCAAAGTAACAAACATATTGTAGTGTAACAAGCACCGGTGTCAAGTGTCCGGTGTCCAAGGGAGGAGTACTAAGAGACAAAAGCTATAGAATTACTAGATTGAGCCATGATAGTAACATCCGGGGCAAGCTTGGCTTCCTGGGTACTATGATTGTTAATAAACGTCGTGGCAGAAGCAAGCACCAAGGAAGAGTCGTAGGACACCATGAGAAAGGGCCAAACAAGAGCTGGGTATGGTTCACCGGAGGCTGAGGAGGGTCGAGGTGGGGTTGCCAGTGAGTGGGTCACACTGAAAAAGCTTCATGTGTTGTTTGGGGTTAAATACCCTTACAATGGTCTAGAAGACCTTGGAGGAAAACAAAAATTATAAGGCCCAATTCTTCATACATTTGTTACTAGTCCATTAAGTAATCCTTGGCCCAATAGGGTAACATTCTGGGCCTGGACGTTATAGTCGTATCAATGGCCCTCGGTTGAATTAGCACCTTGTCCTCAAGGTTGCTACTTGTCATGGGTTGGTTGGTGCCTTGAGGGAAGTCACGGATCGAAGCATTATTGGAGGGTGGAGATGATTTTGTGTTTCTTCTAGTGCCATCCAACGTGTAGCACGAGCAAGAAGTGGGGTGGGCGTGTCATCAATGTGTGCTTCATCCGAGCGTATCTTGGGATTCTGCGAAGCAGTTCCCAAAGTCATGTCAGCCATTGATGAGTGCGCATGTGCATCTTTCGCAGTTAAAGCATATGGAGGTGCCTTGGGAGGGTGAAAAGTCATTCTGGTCATTTCGTGTGGGCATGTCGGTGGCATAGCCAAAGGAATGGGTTCAAGTGTTGTTTCACCTGCATCCGAGCACGAGGGAAGCGGATTGTGGATTGTTTCGAGTAAAGAAGATGGTGGTGGCCGGAACTGAGATAGTGGGTCTTCGCCGACGAAGGGCCGCAACTTAGACACGTGGAAGACATGATGTATGCAGGAACCCTCTGGTAACTCCAACGCGTAAGCAACCATGCTGACACGATGGTGAATCTTGAACAGTCCGTAGAATCACTTCGACAGTTTCTGGTTAGAACGACGATGCATAGTCGTTTGACAATAAGGTTGAAGGCGCACCCAGACCCAGTCGCCGACAGCAAAATGGGCGTCTAGGCGATGTTTGTCTGCCTCTATTTTCATTCTCTGTCGTGTGCGGTGAAGATGGTATTTCACAACTAATAAAATGGCTTTGTGTTCTTGCAGGATGGAGGACACGGAGGAAACTTTGGGAGCAAGGCCAGGCAGTAAATCAATGGTAGTAGGTGGAGTGCGACCATAGAGGACGTGACAAGGGGATGTAGCTAAGTTGGAATGCTTGCTGGTGTTGTACCGGAACTCTGCAATGTGAAGGAAGCGAAACCACGAACAAGGAGTGTCGCTCACGAAGCAACGTAGGAAACATTCCAGGGTGCGATTCAAAACCTCAGTTTGACCATCCGTTTGTGGGTGGTAAGAAGAGTTGTATTTAAGTGTCGTTCCTTGTGCTTTAAAAATCTCACGCCAAAACTGACTCAAAAATATGGGATCTCTGTCTGAAATGATGACTTTAGGAGGGCCATGCACCCGAAAGATCTCCTGCATAAAACGCTGAGCGAGTTGCTGTGTAGTGAATCATGTGGGAAGGGCCACAAAATGGCTATACTTGCTCAGACGATCGCATACCACCCAGATCACTGTGTAACCGTATGAACCTGGTAATGAGGTAATGAAATCCATGGTCACCTCTTCCCATACCTTGTTGGGAGTGTGTAGTGGTTGTAAAAGTCCCCTAGGTTTCTGAGTTTCATATTTGTTTTGTTGGCAGATGGAACAACTCCTGATGAACTGACGAACATTAGAAGCCATTGAGGGCCAATAATAGGATGCAGAGGCGGCTAAGGCTGGACTTAATGCCAGAATGGCCAGCTATTGGAGTGGCATGGTATTCCTTCATCAATTGTTGACGAAAATCGAAGACCCTAGGCACAAAAAGCCTATTGTGGAAGTACAAGAGCCCATCACGAAAACTGTACGTGGCTCCCAGGTGTGTATCATGAATGAATCTAATAACTGTTGCTTTGCCTGCTGGGTCTGATGCAAAATAGTTTTTCCAATGTTGTAAAAATGTTGGAATCGGAGACGACAAAGCTAACAGAACAGTATCCGAAGCCTCATCAGAAGGAAGGTTGAGGTCAGCATCCCGATTAGGTTTAGGAGGCATAGTCAATGAAAGTACCAATTTGATAGGAACTACAGGAAAATTAGGTCTACCAGAACAGAGCTAAGAAAAATCTAAATTCAGGAATTTCATCATCCTCATTCGAAGGTGATTTTGGGGTTAAATACCCTTACAATGGTCTAGAAGACCTTAGAGGAAAACAGAAATAATAAGGCCCAATTCTTCATACATTTGTTACTAGTCCATTAAGTAATCCTTGGCCCAATAGGTAGAGCTGTCAAAACGGGCTACCCGGCCCGGCCCACCATGTAACTTTCGGCCATTGTTCCAGATTGTCATGTTTCAACGGTCTTAATATTATACTTGTTCTATTTCAGGTTGGAGCAGGGTCATTCCTTTTGCACCAATTCTCTTTGATCTTAAATTCAATTTTTCAGAGCCTTGGGCTGAGTGAGGAGATGCACAATTCAGTAAGTATACAGTCCATTTCTATTTTAGATATATCTGTGTATTATAGTTATACAATGCATGCTGAATGGCTAACATCTATTTCCACATCTGGATTTCTAATCCTTTTTGTTACCTTTTACTTCTGACCTTTACGTATATTTATCATGTATGATTAGATAACATTTTTGGACTGATTTGAAACATTTTGTTTTTGCAGTCAGTGCATCATTCATAAAAATTTCTTCCCTACCTTGTTTCTGATCTTTAGAATATATTGAGCTAGCTTTTTGTCCATTTAGAATAACCTTTATACATATTTGATTCTCTTTGGGTTAGCAAAAAATGTTTTGGTCAACAGAAAATACTGCTGAGGTGGAAATAACTTCCTCTTTGCCACTATAATCATTTAATTTTTTGGAGGAATCTCACCCTTTGTATGTATACTTGTTACCCTGATATTTGCTGCAACTTTCACTCACCAATGGTTAGTCCCTAGAGTCCAGGTGCCATTGGCCATTAATGCATCATATTCCTGCTTCATGGCAGCAAGCCAGGTGTCACTAGCCAGAGCTTGTTTGGTACTCTTGGGTTCAAAATGTGTGAGTAAAAGAGTGGGTTGCAGTCGGGGTTTGACAATACCCGTTTTAGCCCGAGTAGTCATGGGATGAAGATTGACAGGGGGAGCCTCAACATGAGTGGGTAAAGAGGTGGAGGAAGAGGGACTGGGCGTAGGAGAAGTATGACTAGGCCGAGAAGGGGAAGAATTAGTAGAAATTGGTGGCGAGGGTGGAGAAGGAGAGGTAGAGGTAACAGGAGCCTATGGATTGGTGATAACAAGAGGAACAAAAATGGATAAGGAGGGTGAACTGGGAGTGGATGGTGAGAACAGGCTTGGGTAGGGAAAACGACTTTCGCAAAATATGACATCTTTGGAAATGAAAATCCTACCAGACGGAGCAAGACACTTGTAACCCTTATGAGAAGTAGAGTAACCCAAGAACACACATTCTTGAGAGCGAAATTGAAGTTTGGTTTTGTTGTAGGGCCGAAGGTGAGGAAAACACGAGCAGCCAAAGACACAGAGAAAGTTGTAGCCAGGGAGCTGATGAAACAGTTTTCGGAAAGGAACATCCTGCTGGATTGAAGAAGAGGGCAGTCTATTGATGAGATAGACACTTGTTAGGAAGGCATAATCCCAAAAGTGCATAGGAAGGTGAGCTTGGGCCAGCAAGGTAAGACCTAACTCAACAATATGACGATGTTTGCGTTCCACAACACCATTTTGATGGTGAGTGTGGGGACAAATAATGCGATGATGAATGCCATGTTGGGCCAGGTAAGAGGTGAAAGAGCGGAATTCGCCACCGCAGTCAGTTTGAATTGCTTTAATAGGTAATTGAAATTGATTTTGAACCATGGCGTGAAATTGTTTAAAAACATCAAGCGTATGAGCTTTACTTTTGAGTAAAAAGATCCAAGTAAACCAAGTATGAGCATCAACAAATGTAATGTAATATTGGTAACCATTATCAGACAAAACAGGCGCAGGGCCCCATAGATCACTGTAGATTAATTCAAAAGGAGTATGATAAACAGTTTTAGATAATTGAGAGGGTAATTTGTGAGATTTGCCAAGACAACACGAAGTGCAAAAATCAGAAACACTTTTATTGATGATGGGAAAGTTACACAGTTTGAATATAGATTTGAGTACATCATTATGGGGATGTCCCAATCTAGAATGCCAAGTGGCATAGGAAACTGAATTAGAAGAGACAGTGTGAGCAGAGGGTATAACTGCAGAAGGTTGTCTTGGCAGAAGCAGAGATGGAAACTGATATAAGCCATCAGGACCGACAACTCCAAGGAGGAGAGTTTCGTTACTGTCCTGTGATTTAACCAAACAAAAGGCTGAGTGAAATTCAAAGAAGACAGAGTTATCCTTACAGAATTGACTCACTAATCAGATTTTTGGTGATAGTAGGAACATAAAGGAGATTATGAAGAGTAAGAGAAATGTGAGGTTTGAGAGGAGAAGAGAAATGAGCACGGGTTGGCTCACCGGGCCAAGCCCATTTTGACAGCTCTACCAATAGGGTAACATTCTGGGCCTGGACGTTATAGTCCTATCAGATACCATATAGAAATTGTAGCAATTGTGTGTTCTTCCTTGCCCAATCTGATTTATTTATAGTCAGGAGGAATACAATAATTAGGGAAACTAGGGAAATAACAGAAAAATCCCTAAAAGTCAGCCATAAAGATAAGCATTAGATAGTTACTCTATTTAAAGATATCTAATCATATCTTCTACAGTCTCCACAATCTGGGCCTGTGGCCTGTATGTGGGCCTTCTATAAATCTTCTCTATTCTCAAGCTTGCATAATTTGTTAAATAATATATGAATAGCATTCAGATTAAAAAAAATGGAAAAAATATGCTCGCCAATATTTGAACCTAGATTTTTTCTTTTGTAGAGTTTTATTCTACTACTAAACCATTAATGTGTGTTGTTGATTGGTATTGTATGTTATATGTTATATACATATATTGTGTTGGAAGCATATATGCGAACAACAAGGTTGGAAAATGAGTAAATTATTTGTGCGCTGTTAATTCTGTCATGAACTTTATTCCTTGCATTTGGCCTAAATTGGTTTCGATGGTGCAAGCTTGAAACCCACAGAATGGGGAATCAAGCACCTCATTGGTGATAAGTAACATATCTGTGATTTCTTTCATAATTTATAGTTACAAAGTTTTATGTCTTTGGAACATAAGTTGAGCATTTGCCATGGCTTGATTCATTCCTCACATTCCAATCAACTGGATTTGTTATTATCATAACAAGTGGATTTTTTGTGGGTGTCAAAGGGATGTGAGAGTTAAAATTCTAATAGCTAGGTGAATGAAAAGGAAAATAATTAATGTTAGAAAATTAATGTGTGCAAGTGCTAGTTATTGAAACAAATAGTTGGGATCTGCAAGCCAAGTTTTAAAAATGAGAGTAACATGCTTTATTACAAAAGGCTATCTTTGTACCAGTGGAGCATCACACCGAGGAATCACAACTTGTTCAGTATTGTAGCCAAGTGTGCAACTTGTGCTAGTGCTGAGTATTAGGAAAGATCCGTGTTAAAAAAAAACAAGGGATGAGATAATGTACACCAGGAATACTTTATGAGCATAAATTTCCTATTGCCTTTTTTTCTTTGACAGCCACTTCCCTTCTTCCTACTTACCCCTTTCGAGAAAGGGAAGGTGACAAAAAGCATTTTGGTATGGCCAAGGCCAAGCATCTTTAACTTGTGATGTGTTTCTTTCTACTAAAATACTTGGCTTCTAGAGGCCTGCATTTAATGATTTGAAGAGGGGTGATTTGTTCTTGTTGAATAAGGACCTTGCTGTTAATGGTACTTCGGTTCAAATACTTTATACTTTATTACTATTTTATTATTGCATTTAGTTTTTTTTTACTAGTTTGCACATTCCCTTTATGATTGTCTTGATGATTAAAGCAATAATAAATAATCATTTTATTAGTTTTTACATAAAAATCAGATTATATTTTCTTTTTTTTTATCATTTTTCAGGTACAGGGAGAGGGTTTGACAAATGATGGGATTATTCCTCATATATTTTCATCCATGCCAGCTCTCAATGATGCTGCTTCTTATCTTGCACAAACAACATCATACTTAACTGGTTGTTTCTCTGATTATTCAGGCAAGGTTCTTTTTTATTTATCTAGTTCTTCAGAGTTCAGAGGTGTAATTTAAGTAGATTCTTCTTTTAGAAGTTAAAGGAATTATGCTGCCAGTCATAAGTTTGCATAAAAAAAAAGGAAATAATGAAGCTGAGTTATTATATGGCATATCAAAATAATAATGCAGTTTATCTCCAAGAGAAAAAAAGGCTTAATTGCACTTTATGCTACCAAAATTTTACAATTTCACAAATTTTGCCACCCAACTTTTTAAAATGTACATCTTGTCATCTTGTTAATTGATCACTGACATGACACGTTAACCGCTAATGTGGCTAGTCAACCGATGACATGTCATGTTGTTTGACAATGTGGCACATTATGTCACATGATTTGGATGCCACATTAGCAATCCACATCGGTGGTTAACTGGATGGCCAATTAACAAGGTAGTAAAAAGTGCAAAAGTTTTAAAATTTGGTGGCAAAATTTGCAAAATCATGAAAATTGGGTGACAAAAAGTGCAATTAAGCCAAAATAAAAATAGGGAGGTACTTAGCTCATCCACTTTTAATTAAAAATAGAAATGATGCACTTAAACTTTGTTACCTCATCTTTGCATTTATACATGGATGTTGACAATTGAAGAACCTAATCAGATTGCTATGGAGTTATGGTCACCTTTCAGAAAACACAGACATACCTTTCGAGGGATAGACAATGCCACAAAGTATGTGATTACTATATTAGAAGTTTATTGTCCTCTTGTAAAACCGATAGGTTTTAGAATATGCTTCCCGACAAGTGTATCCTATCCTGGAAGTAACAAAGGACATAATCTCTACATCATACTCAAAGGAGTGACTCAGACTTCCGGAGAAATCCTTGTGTTGTTTAAGTGGTTTAATTAAAAGAGGTTTTCTTGGATGAAATTAAAGTAGTCAAAAGTAAGAAAATAGGAGATAATTTCAGTGATGGAAAGAACTTAGGATTAGGGTCCACCTATGTATTTGATTCCCCTCACCCTGAATTTAATTCTAATTCTATTTCCAAACTCAATTGTAAAACTCTTTTCTGGATTAAACCCCTAATTGATCATGTAATTTAATTTAGGAAAGGAATTCGAGCAAAGAAGTGAACAAATCCAATCGAAGGTTTAGTTTGTAGTTTGATCATTTGATGATTCCAAACTTAATTACCCTATAGGTCCATCAATTCATTTAGGTGGAGTCAATGATTAATTAATCTATTATAATTATGCAAGGTGATTAGTTCCATAATAACACCAAAGGAATACTATGACGATTGAAGTGAATAAATGGAAATAAAATTATCAATTAAATCAGGGTTAGTTCAGGATCTCTCATGCAATGAGTATACCATAATCATAGCTTAAGAATTAGTTTCCCATGACAACAAAAGAGAAAGCCATTATAAGATTACCCATGAGAAATTCAAGAAAAAACCTTTACAATAAGGAATTCTTTGATCTCCACATGTCCAAGAAATGTGCTCTTGAAGTCCAAGGAAGTCCTTTTTTTTTGCACAAAAGCCAAGATGCCCCTTTCTCTCCTCTCACATCTCTATTCATAATTAACTTGAATGACCAAGGTGCTAGAGTTAGCATGATCGTGCTTCAATTCGGAAGCATCATCATGCTGAGAGTCTGCTTCTATCTGGAGACAGTAACTTCAGATCCAAGCACTGTGGTGCATAGGGTAGCATAGTGGAGCCTCCTGTAGTAAGCGGAGACTTGGCATTCTAGCACAGCCGTGCATTATGGAACATAGTCATGCTTGATCTTTTTTGTCATCTCTTGGTCTTTGCTGGACATGCACAATTGTGCGTTGATAAGCACAACTGTGCTTCTCATGCAGGAGAACCTTTTCCACGTAAACTTTGTCATTTTCTTTCTATCTCATCTCCGATGCAATCCTGTACAGATATGGGGGAAGTGGGTTAAAATGTACATGTAAAGAACCAAATGCCTCAGTAATGGGCCTGATTTCCCCATGCCAAACACACAAAATTTGTTTATCAGAAACCTAATTGAAACCCATCTATAGCAAAATCCTTGTTGAATATATAGCCTTTACTTTTTATGTATATTTCACTTGAGAATTTATCATAGGTTCAATTTGATTCCGGAAATCTGCTTTAGTCTAGGTACTGTATGATTTGGAATTGTTTATAATATTGCTCTGTACTACTTCATGAAATTTCACCTAGACTTAATTTGAGTTTGTTTATGATTTATTGACTGTATTCCTTGTATAATTTTGAGACATTACCTTTCCTCATGTTATCTTATTTGAGTTCTGCCCAAACTCGTGTATTTGATTTGTATCGTTTTTGTTCCATGTTTGTCTTATTAATTGTACTACTACAGGGCCTTGACTTCTGCAGTTTTAGACCTTAAATCTTTTTTTAATTTTTCAGTAGAACATTCACCCAGACGTCCTGGTTCTTCTGGAAGTCATGCACAAGAACTTGTGGAGTTTTCTTCTGCAGAAACTGATGCATCTTCATCTACCGAAATCGAGCGTATTCCCCTTTTAACTAATGTTGAGTCATCTAGTGCTGCATCTTCTTCAGCTACACATATGCATGATGAAATCACGAGGACTTCTGGTGGAAATCTGTCACAAAATTCCAGTGCACTTGTTGAATCAAATCGTACTGGACAAAGTGGCATCTCCATTTTCCAAAGGTATTGTTTATCAATTTATTCTAAATGTGATTTTTCCTGATAAGCCCTTAAAAATGTCTTCTTCTTTTTTTTTTTCTCTTCCAAATTATGAAGCTGAATTGTTATGATTTGTCATTGTTGAATTATAATGTACAGTTATTTTAATGTTCAATTCGTAATTTTGCAAGTATGTTCATCTTGTAACAGAGGTTTATACCACTGATGTCATTCTAATTCAGTATCAATATTACTCCAGTCTTACCATTCCTATTCTGGTTCCTATCAGATTGAAAGATATGGTTTAATCTCTGCCACTGCTAGTTTGCTTACTATTAAGGCCACCCCAAGATTGAACCCTACTGTTTTCATTGTTGTTCCCGTAATTGAAACTTATAATGTTGGTTTATACTGTACCCCAATTCTTTTATTTTTTTAAATTGCTATAGAACCATCTAAACTCCAAATTGTAAAGCTCGTTTGACAATTAACATGGGAATAGTAAACTATGTTTTGTTTACTTCAGCCTGATTGAACGTGCTCGAAGGACTGTGCGTGGATCTGCAGATGATATAGGTTGGCTTCAACGTGATCCAGGAATGGCTCCGGTTG